GACTATATACTGTATAACTAAAGACCCAATGACTGTTCTGTGGAAAGAATGTCTCATACAAATATATTATATGTAAATGTCCAAAAAAAAGAAAAATCTAATAGTTGTTTATATAACTATCTCTTGTGCACATATGTAAAAAGAATTCCACACAGTATATTTCCTATAGCCTTGTTGTATAAGCTTTTTTCTTTGAATATTTTTTGAATCATTAAAAAACATAAAACTGACTAAATGATTTTTTTTGTTTCATAATTATAAAGTTGTATCGTTGTAACAAATTTAAACAAATAATTATTTCAATAGTTTTATTTTTTTTTACCCACAAAAGATATTGTATTTCTTCTCCTTTTTGTTTTATACTGTGGCTCGGTAACAAGAAAGAAAGGCTCCAGTTACAGGCCTTTTGAATTTTTAATGCAGCTGGAAGATGAACACAATCCTCCACCACACTACAGATGGAGAGAGAAGGAGAGTTCAGGGTTTCTAATATACAGTCACCCTCTGAAGCTGTTTGTATTACTGTAAATTTGCAGCTAATTCACTTTTGAGCCATCCAGATAATCTTGGACAGGTTTTCTGTATTCTTTGTTTGTTTGTTTGTTTGTTTTTTAACTATTATTAGTTATTATCAAAAATTATATTTTGGAATACTCTACCCTCAGCTGGAACTGTGTGGTGGATTGACGCCCATCACAGAGAGGAGTGCAAGGGCTTCAACCGATGACACTGACAGCCAGATTCAGGTCAATCTGCTAGCTGAAGCAGCTGAGGCTCATTTCAACACCACAACTTGGAAGTCGGAGGACAACAACTTCAACCAGCCGTGTTACACGGTATGTTATACACAACAGTTGGTTCCAGTATTTCTACTGTTGTGTAGAACAGTGTCAGAGCTGTTGTCTCTAAGGTATATTCACATTGCCTCCTGGCCTGGGGTCTTTCTGAGTGGAGTTGAGGAGTTTTCTCTGTGCATGCATGGATTTTTTCCAAGTGGTTAGGTTCCTCTCACAGACCCCCAAAAAAGTGCATTTTATGGTAATTGGAAACTCAAAATTGCCCCAAGGTGTGAGTAATTGTCTCTTTGGCCCTGTGACACTTTTGCAGTGTTGTGCAGGATGATTTATATAAGGTAGTGTAACTTTATTTCACACTGGTACAAATTGTTTATCAGCCTGGAAAACAACACAAAAATGGGCATTATAGTTGAATAGCCAGTAGCCTCGTCTGGACAAAGACTTTTTCTATCCCCCCCCACATTTTATTCTTTGTGACTGATGTCAGGTACTATTACTAACTATTTGACAGATCATTACTTCAAAAATGACCACACTGTCCCTTCATCATTTGTGTTTCCTGAACACATTATTAAACCATGCCCTGTTTCATATCTCTTGTGAATGTTTTTTTAATTTATTTATTTATTGTCAGAATGCTTTAAACTGGGCTGGAAACAGCTCTGTGGTGACAGTTGTGATAAAACTTCAGTCATTTAAATTGTGTGCCGTTCCTCACTGACGTGTAACCCTGAGATTCTCTGGGTAGCCATTTTAGCTGCCCTAAAGGAGATTACCATGTCAGTGCCTGTTCTCTCCCTTCATGTTCTATAAAGTAGAGCTAACAGACGGCTGTATCGGTATCACAGTGTCGGGTACAGAGAAAGTGCTCAGTGTCAAAGAGTTAAATTGTGGCTGCAGCTCAGACATACTCAGGCAAACCTTTTGTACTCACGGTTGCTTAATTGCCATCCATTTTACCTTCAATGAAAGGTGCTTATAACTGGCATTGACACGTGGCCTAACACAAGGACGTAACGTTCTCTCTCACAGAAGTGTTCTCATCAAAGGCAGCCTTGTTGCAAAATTAGCTTTAGATTTTCACTGCAGCTTGAACTTCATGTGACACTTCAAAAATCTCCTGATTGACCTTTTTCTTTTTGTAGTGTTAAGGGAGATGTGGAAAAACTACCTTACTCAACTTATTTTCATTTTAGAATAACTCCAAAGGCCTTTCCCTTTGTAGTGCTTTTTAAGATTTTTTTAGTACCATATCGCTACAGAAGAGTGAACTTTTTAGCCAATGTCGAGGAAACTTGTTTTTAGGGTTCTTGAAACTCAGTATTTTCTAAAAGGTTAAAAGAAAATATATATTCTGGATATTTAAAGTGCATATTAATTCCAGAGTGTTTTTTTAGTGTTTCAAATAAATATATTTAGGAAATCTTTGTCCACATACTGACTCTTTTAGGAACATGTTTTATATATAAAACAACAAAACTGGTGCTTGGAGGAAAGATTGTTGGTGGAACTCAGTTTGGAGAAATAAACTAATTTTGACTAGACTAATAAGCTATCAGCCACTTCAATAGAAGCATAGATTGGACAGCTGCTTTAATAAAATGTGGTTCATAGTTGGCAGTTTTTATTGTATTGACAATTTTTACATGCTTTTTGGCAAAACTTTCAAGTGCCTCAGATTGAACCACATGTGCTACAACTAGCTGCTGCTGCTATTTATGTTTACAATACAGTCTAAATGTTTTAAAAATAGTGTTAACTGTGTGTGAATTTATTTTTAATGTTTGAGGGTTTTCAAGCAGCAATACACGGTGGTCCTGTAATTTGTAAAGATATGTGTATTCATTTTGGATCAGAACCTCATAAAATATAATCCTTGGGCATCAAATAAACAAAGAACAATGCTGATTTGAATAAATGTTGGTGACAAGGGAAACTTAATTTGCAGTGTGGAAAGAATGATAGATAAACTGATTGCAAAAAATAGCTTATTTTTGCTGGCATTGTTTTCACAGCATTGGACAAAATTTTGCCAAATAAGAAAGGGTGGAATGTCACTGAAAACACAAACAAAAACAGCCTAAAACCCATGGATTAGTTGGTAAGCTATTTGTTCTAAAAGAAGAAAAAAAGAGAGATTTTCAGTGCATGACTCTGAACTCTGTCAAGCTGGATTTCTCACTGCTTCCTAACCTTTGGTGCCCTGATCACGTATATCCTAGCCACCTAATGCTGATGGAGACAAACAACAGGAGTGGCTCCATGGGGTGGACTGCTATCTTCCATCAATCTCACCCAATTACTCTGACGTCTACGTTCCAACTCTATCAAATCTAAGAGTACATAATCCTCTCAACTAAAACGATCCCACACATGGTCGTGTTTGCTAAAACTAGAAGCTTTGGTGAAGCATCTCCCACACATAGAGCATCCAGCCAGGAAGTCAGCTCTATTAGCTCTTTTAGGTCAGAAAAGCAAAGGCTTTTTTAGGCTAAAATATTGGAGTTTGTGAAGCCTGCTTTATTGATGAAAATCCTCTGCAAAATATCAACAAACTTTATCTCAATTTAAAAGACAATGAAAGACAAATTAAACTGAGCAAACCTTTTCCATTATAACACTTCCATGTAGACAATGACAAACATAAACATTTAAAACTTTTTCATGCTGAATGGTCTAAAAGTTTTGAAGACATTGACTATTTTTTTTCTTTTCCTTCTTAATGAATTCTGTATTTTGATTGACTGACCATTTTAAACCATAAAAAGACATACAAATCCTGTATCCCACTGCTTTATAACCCAAGTAAATGACTGGTATTTCATGATGATGTAGCTGTTTGACCTTAAATTTCCAGCATGATTATAAACTCTTGTTTTATTGGCCACGCTTCTGTCAAGCACTCACTCCCATCTCCCGTTGATCCTTTCGTAGGAAAACCAACTGCGCTATCGCTGCCGTGCAATGGACGATGACAATATGCAGCGAGCCCCACCTCTGCCCCCTCGCACAAGCTTCGAGAGGACAATCACTGTTGTCCGGGGCAACCGTAGCCTTGGTATGTTCTCCGTCTTTCTCATGATGATGGTGTCTTGGTGTGTGTACGTCGCGGGCATGGCCATTGTGACGCTAATAGGAGGCGGTGATGACGACTGCCATGAAGAGGAGTGCTGACGTGATGTGCTCCTCATACCTGAGAGGAGATATTACACTTGTTTGTGTGTGTGTTTGTGCTGTTTGTACGTGTGTGTGTGTGTTCGAATGAACAAGTACATGAGGGAAGAAATGGTTATTATAATAGGGAATATATGTAAAGTTTTTTCAAAATATGTTTTATTATCTATTCCTAACTGGTCGTAACTGCATATCCAGTGTTTTGCTGGTTAAACATGACAGGGAAACAAAGGGGTGGAAGCCTATCCTGCACTTTCATCTAAAGACCATATGCAAAGTATAAGGAAACAAACTCATTTGTATTCTGGTAACATGTTCGAATAAAGCACCACACCACTTGTGTGTGTGTGTGTGTGTGTAGGTGTGTGTGTGTTTAAGTGAGGGAGAGACAGAGAGAGTTTGAAATTATGTAAATGTTTGTGGTAGAGAAAATCAAGGTCACAGCATCACTGCATTCTTTGATTTCATCTGTTTGAAGGGTTCAGGTTCTCTTGCTGGGATGCTTAATGAAACACGGGTCTTCTGAAAATTCAAATGTTTATGTGTGAACCAGTTGGTGTAAAACTGATGGTCTTAAGGTTCAAATATTTAAACGTGGCATATTGTTTTTCAAAAGAGCTGTTTGAAACTGATAAGATATTGTCTGTAGCCTTTACACAAACCCTGCTTTTAAGTATTTGAACTATTGTTTTAAGTAGAACAAATAAAAGTTACTGAGGTCAAATAGATTTTATTTTAAAAAAGGGAAGATTTACCGTTTATTCTTCCAAAATGTTCTTTAGCAGAACTTGTAATAGTCATTGTATTTTAATGCTGTGTTGTCGTACTACGGCCTGTTTGGACTTTGAAATATTCAATGTAATATATTCAGAGGTCCTCTGTCTTTGAAATGTGTGGTTTGTTTGTCCTTGATTTGGCAGTGATTGTGTGTCCAGTTCAATGTTCTCCAGGCACTATGATTGTATTGAAATTTGAATGTAATAACAAAAAAAAGAACAATAAACTATTTATTTAAGTAAAAATTAAGCACAAAGTCATTTTTTGACCAGTTTCAAATTATGTACGACCATAGTGTTGTGGATGTGCACTGTTAGTCCATTAGTGATGTCGTTCGCCAGACTGTTTAATTAGTAAAAGCCTTCCTCCTTTTTGTGGTATGAATGTGCGTGCATGAGGTGTGTTTGTGAAGACAGATTTACCTGCTTCTGCCCGTTTGCATTAATGAAGTGTTTGTGTAATCCACCTAGTGTCCAAATTGATAATGCCAAAGTCTGGTGTTTGTGTGAATGCGTTGCTCCTTTGGTCACCTGTGTCCTCTGCCCTTTTGCTGGTGTGAGTGTGTTTTACTGTGTGTGTTCTACTTAGGTGAGTGTGTCTGCGAAGGAGAACACTGTGCAAATGTCAAGCATGTGTGACCATGTTTGTGTGTTAATCTGCCTTGTGTCTGTCTTGATTATGGTGATTATTGCCTCCATCAGGTGTTTGTTTGGGCGGATGTCTGTTTGGCGTGCAGTCAAAGCGCTCTTAGCCAACCCTCCATTCACTCGTGCTTGTATGTGCTTTTGTTTGTGTGTTATGTGTCTGTGCGCACATTGGCAGGGATGTCGGTGAGTGCTATCAAGGACGGCACAGGCATGCTGGTCCGGAGTGTGGTCCAGGGGGGTTCGGTTTGCCAGGATGGCAGACTGGGGGTGGGGGATATCATCCTGGCCATCAATGGAGAGCCCACCTCCAATCTGACCAGCACCCAGGCCAGGGCCATGCTGCGCAGAAATTCTGTCCTAGGGCCAGAGATGAGGTGAGGAGATGTTCATTTACCCACATCAGAGACGTGTGTGCTGTCTGACATGTTTCATCTGTTTTCAAAAAGAAATTTCCAATCAAAACTTACAAACGTAGTTGTTAAAAACCTGACACAAACTGACATTGTCTTATTAGGGAGACAGCAGAATCTATGCTCTTTAGAGTATGCTAATGTACATCTGAGTCTTAATAAGGTTCTGCAAAATTATTACTCACAGCAATTTTGTTTATTAGTCATTAAAGTGTCAAACAATTAAAATGACACCCAACACAACAAACTTATATTTTTCATCCTAACTAATCATCTGTGATAAAAAATCAAGTTATTTTAAGTTTATAGTTAAAAGACTGCGCTCATTCACACAAGTGGTCTCATTATTTCAGATAATTAAACCTCCACTCTGTTTGAAATTAAATCACCACAAAGAAAGCACTGAAAATGAGATGCAGTTGTCTAAGCTTGATGCAGCAATACTTTATATTCAGATGTCAGTCAAATATATGCTACATTATATTTGTGCAGTCTTTGAGACAGATTATACAGAACTACCGTATATAATAATTGTATATAACTATACAATCCCCTTTATGAGATAATGTTATTTTTTTTCGTTTGATTTTCATACAATGGCTACCCTTATGTTGATTAGCTCTGGCAACCATTTTGAAGCAAGTTGACGTATATTAATCAGTTGTAGACAAACTTTTTTCTTGATCTGAGGTTTTATTTATGTACATTTTAATTGTATTTACCATTTTGAGAGCTGATACCCTGTGTAGCAAGAAGGTAGGAGAGGAGCCGAAAGGGTGATTAACTGTTTCTAACCTCCTCTACACTTTTTAACTTTTTAAAACATTTTTAAAAGGGGTCATGTCAGGGGTCATCGTCATTTATACTACATCTGACATCAACTTTCATAGTTATGTGTTATCCCTTGACAAAAAAAAAAACAATAATAATACAAGTCATAATCTGACATTTAAATCTGTGGCATATAAACACTTTTTGTAATACTTTCAATTTCCACACAGGCCATCAATTATGAAGCATAATTATTACGCTTGTGCGTTTTTTTTCCCAGACATGGCTTAAACACGTTTTTACAGAAATAGCATTAATTTTGAAAGAGCAGAGAAAGATCCTGTGGGAATGGAAAGCACAGTGAACCACTGAAAAGAAATTTGAATTTCATTCACATTTTTAGACCTATTCATGCATCCTAATGATCTCTTTGATTCGAATGAGCGGGTATGTCCATAATAAATATAAAAATGTGAAGTTGAAGATTGACTTTAACAGCATATCCACAGATAAATGATATTGCATCTCTAGGATCTTCAATATGACCTTGCTTTTGACGCTGCCGTCATATTTGATTGTGGCGCTACATTCGTGTTTGCATCCGGTGCTGAAACTTTAAAGATGGCCTGAAGAGATACTGAGTCTTTTTATTATTTCTTGTTTAAACATCAGCAATTATGGCTTCACATCGAGAATACTTGTTTGGCTGATTGGGGATATGCTCCACCTCCACCATCCCCCTGCCCTGCAAAACACCCACTCACTTTCTCTCAATCTTTTTCCATCTTCCTCTCTCACTAGTGATTTTAAAGGCACACACACACACACACACACACACACACACACACACACACACACA